TCCTCCTCCTCCTCTTGCTCAGCCGCCTGTTCCTCCTCCTTCCTCCTCCCTCCTCCCCCTCTCCCTCCTCCATCTTCTCCTCCTCCTCCTCCTCCTCCTCCTCCTCTTCTCTTATTCCTCCTACATCCTCCCCCTCTTGGGGTAAGAGGTCTTACACAGCCCTGTATTTCACTGCGCGCTCCTGCACATCCCTGATCAACCAACTCGTCTGGGCATCGTTTCTGGATGGACTGGTGGGGTTACGCGAAACGTCTTATATATGACTACTTGTGGCTGGAATGTGATATGTACGGTTTTCGAAGCGTTGTGTGATGTACATCGACGTCTAGGTGGTTACACTGGCTATTCAGTGCAATTTGGCAATGCCGTGCCCAATGATCTGGCAGAACTTGCACCGAAGGCGTGAATCTGTGATGCCGTATCGGATGACCTCGACATTGAATGTCCTGGGGTCGCCATTTGGCATTGAAGACCGTATCCGTCAACTTGGGGTTACGTTGGCTACCAAGAAGGCGCAACTACTTGAATCCATTGCAGAATCCATTTCGGTGCCAGCGGAGTGCCTTCTACTTGACTGCCATGCGGTATCCCCAGCTATGCCATCTCCTTCGGACACTCCCGCCAGAGAAAATGCAACCCCTGGCATACATAAGTCTACGGCATTTCCATCCAAATAATGTTCAAACACTTGTTTTCGCCTCCGGATTCCGATACTTGGAACGCAAGCACACATGGGATACAGTGCGACCTCTGGGTGCAACAATCTCAATTCGTTGTGTGATTTGGGGGTATGGGATTGCTCAGTGTTGCAAAAACAGCAACGACATCCTACTAGGCTAGTTGGGCAGATGTGCTTCAAACTCTGGTCACGAAGCTCCCCACACTTGGCCGAACTACGCCATATCACATCAGGGCTGCCCACGCGGGATCACCTGCAGTTCCAACGCGCCTACTGGCTGGTGCACGAACTGGCCAATGGTGCACAGCCCAAGGGTGGGCGGAACGCTCATCATGGACCGACTTGGCTGCCGACGCGCGCCCGCCTGAGTCAGGGGCATCTGCACAGTGTACTAACATAGAGCATCCATGGATTGCAGGTGTGTCCTTCCGGGGTAATTTAACATTCAAACAAATCATTACTACTTCGGGCATTTTTGCGGTACCGACCTACCGGGTGAATGCGGTATCCACTGGTACAGCCGAGCTCCAGGCAAAGGCAAAACCGTTCGCGGGGATCTCGGTGTTGGTGTGCCCTATAAATGAAACTCTGTGTTGCAAGCGTAATATTTCAATGTGCTGTTGGACGGAAGCTGGGGACTGGCCTCACAATAAGCAACCCTGACCCGCATGGGCATGTATTGCTATCAACTGCATTCGGTGAAAGAACGCAGACACGACATACTGAAATGGTCTTGGCGTGGAGGCAAGTAGTGGTCCAAACTGAATGTACTACCCCTGAAAGAAACATTGAGCGGGCTTTTTAGTCAGCGAGCAAAAGTTCGAAGCATAGCGTCGCACTTTGCAAGTGGATGTATGTGCACACGAATCTGATCACAAACAATCCCCATTCAGTCTCATCGCGCTGTGCACGCACGCCGACTCGACGTGGGCCAAGAACCGTGCTAAAATTTTGCGGCGCCTGGATCGCGCCTGGGCGGCGGCCCTCCGCGCTCGAACCGCTTTGAAACTGTCCTACCCCTAACCGAATATTACAAGGGGTAAGGGTTGCTGGATTCCAGAATCTTGATTCATGATACGAATTTAGACACCGGGCGGGTCTCCATGGTGGTCTCAAGCGGTCTCAAACTGTCTCAAAAGGTCTCACAGTGCCACGAAACCCTCGTCGCCGAACACATGCGTGCGTCTCACATGGTTTCAGTGCCACGACACCCTCGGCGCCGAGCGCATCCGCGCTCTTCACAAGATCCCGAAGTGTCAAGAAACCTTCGGCGTCGAGCACATGCGCGCGTCTCACAGGGTCCTGACAAGGTCCTCGAAACCCTCGGCGCCGAGAACATGCGCGCGTCCCACATGGTCTCATTGCCACGAAACTCTCGGCGACGAGCGCATCCGCGCGATGGACAAGGTCCCGGAGTGCCACGAAACCTCGGCACCGAGCACATGCGCGCGTCTCAGAAGGTCTCAAAGTGCCAGGAAGCCCTCCGCGCCGAGCACATCCGTGCGTCTCACATGGTCTCGCAAGGCCAGGGACCCCCCGGCGCCGAGCGTATCAACTCCTGCGCCCATGGGCCGCCGCGCGCCGCCTGGGCTTCCTTTTCGCCCAGCGGCTGAATGCCGAATCATAAACGCGCTGCCTGGTGGCGGGGCCCCCGCTGATTTTCCGGGTGCCAGCCCCGATGCGTGCGCCCCCGCCTCGGCCCCTCCCCGCGTGCCCCCTCGTGCGCGGCGCGCCGACGTGGAGCTGCGGCTGCCGGGCGATCTGCGGCGCGGGCTGGGGGGCAACAGTCCCCTCTCGTCTCCCGAAGATTCTGGGAACGGTAGCGCGGTGCCCCCCTTGTCCGGGTCGCAATTGAGGCAATGCTTGTGCTTGCTGAGCAAGTCGGGCAGTGCCGGTCCTTCACGCGCATCAGATGCGGCTTCCCCTTGCCGAAGCGCCAGGGAACTCTGGGGGCGTGCTCCTCCCCCCATCCTCGGGGCCTCCTGTGCCTTCCTTATCTTTGCCCTTCTTACCTTTCCCCTTTCGGGCCGCGGGTTCCCCTCTGGCTCGTTCGCTCTGCGGGCGCAGGCTCCGGCTACGTGACCTTCTGCCGGTGTCGCGGCTCCTGGTGCAAGGGGCCTCTGGTCGCAATGTCTCTTCAGCTAATTGCGGCAAGTCGGCGGGGTGGCATTTCTCCATGTCGGGCCCGGCCCAGAAAGCGCTCCAAGGACTCCCGCGATTCTTCCTCGGGCTGCCTGGGGGCCCTTCCTCGGGCCCGGATGCGCTGGTTCTGCTAGGTCCAGTGAAAGCCATGGTCAAGACAGCCCCTGGGCTGGCGGGCGAGCCCGGTTCGTCCTCCGCGATGTCGTCTTGAGCGCCAGGGGGGGGCTCCAGCGGGCGTTTGGTTTCCCGAGCTCTCTGGGCCCCCGGGAGGCACAAGGCCGCCCCCCCCTGGGAGAGCCTGTCGGGGGCGAGGTTCTGGCTCCACGGACCCGTAACTGGCTGTGCAGCGAACTCCACCACCGATGCCCGAGACTTGTCACAAAACTCGTGCCTCGACCCCCATGACTACAAAAGGTAAATGAGGGGGGCGACATGGGAGGGCAGCAACGAGCGGTGTGTTTACCTCGCTCGGCTTGCCAGGCGCGGGCACTGGCGCGCAGGCTGGGAGCAGCGCGAGCGTCGTCGTTGCGGCGACGGCGTCCTGGACGACAGGCGCACTGCCTACGCTGGCCCAACGCCCGCGCAGCAGCGCAGCTCCCATGCATCGTGCGAGCGGAAAGCAGATTGGTACTTCCCTCCTCCAGCTGTAGAGGACGATTCCTTGGTCCTCCAGCTGGAGGCACGAGCAGATCTCGCGAACAAGCGCTGGAAAGCAGCGGGCGTGCGCCAAATGGCTGGCTGGCCCGCTGGCTGGCGGTCTCTGCCAGCTCCCGTGCCTTCAGCTGCAGCGCCACTGCTCCTGCGGGCGCACCCTGACGAGCCTTCTGCTCCCGTTTGGTGTCGCGCAGCCTGATCATAGCTGAACTTGAACTCTCTAAATAGTGATGTTGGCATCGCAGCGCCATGATTCCCCTGCCTGAGGTACGGGTCATAGGCTGCAAGCAGGATCTTGGCGACGGCTGGGAACCCAGCATGAGAAAGCCGCTGGAGCACACCAGCGCGATGAGCGGTGCGCTTGGGAGCCACGCCCTGCTGGCCCAGCACGTTGCACCGTGCGAGCCACCCGCCAGTTCTCCCGTGGCTGACCGCGGAGAAAGGGAGAGTGGCGGCGCATGCCTGCCATGGCCCAGTTCACGTCGAACAGGGACCCCTCTGCGGCCCAGCGCCATTCCACGTAGTCAACCAGGCCCACGTTGTTTGCACTGCAGAAAGCGTCCACGCTTCCACGCCAACCACTAGTCAAAGACGCCGTCTACCGCTCTGGCAGCGCTTCTGCGCGGGAGGAGTGACTGCCAGGGCTCGCAGGGGAGCTGCTGCGGGCGGTTGACCTCTGCCCAGGCCTTAGCTCGCGCCTGTCCAGCGCGCAGGGCCGTCCGCGTACAAGTCGTCTGTGTAGCAGCAGCCGTGCATCGGGTAGCAGCTGGCCGCGAGCGCCCGCCTCTCGAGGCGCCTGATCCCTGGCTGCAGCTGCCAGGCGCTCGACGTGAACTTTGTGCAGACTGCTGCCTCCGCTTGAGCATCGAGCGAGTGCAAGTAGTGGCAGCTGCGCTTTGCAACGTCTGGCAGCGCCACCTGGCTTCAGTGCCCGCGGTCTTTAGCCCCGACTCGGACATGTGAGCAGGTCGCTGCCACTTGAACTCTTGGCTATGCACCAAGTCCACAGCATGGTTCGCAAAGCCGACCATGCCGACGCCCGAGCACGGCAAGGGGGCCCCGCAGTCAAGCCTGACGTCCGTGCTGCCCTTACCCGTTATGCGCATGAAATCGAAGATGAGGCTTCGCTCGGGGATAGCGGGGCTGTAGCCAAGAGTCTTGAGAACGCCATCGATGCACCAGCTAGGCTCCCGCTCGCCGACTTGCAAACACTGCTCGCCGAGAACTGGTATGGGCAAAGCTCCAATTAGTGCCAGCCAACTGCCGAGAAAGACCATGGCGCACTGGCCTCAGAGAGCATTATCATTGAGGCATTCCATGATGATGTCTCTCCCCGCCAACGGGGCGCTGCCCTTGACTGCTGCTCGAAGATAGCGCCGATCAACCCCCATCGGCACACCTCGCTCCTCTGCGTCAGGAAACCTACCTTGCGCTCGATCGGCACTCCACAGCAGCACCGTGTCCTCGTAGTTGTTGACCTGACAGCGGTGCCGATCCTTTGCCCCGCACGCCTGCGCTACGGCACTTGCGCGTTCCAGGCGATCAGGCCACAGCAGCGGGTGCTGGCGCGGTACTGGCCTGGCGAAGTAGGGCAGTCCACCTCAGGGTCGTCCAGCCTCTGCCCAGGCAGCGGCCAGAGATCAGCAGCGTTGCACACCACGATGACCTCATCGTTGCTGCTCTGACAAGTGCTCTTGCCCTTCTCCTCGATACTCGTGTCATGTGGAAGGTAACTGCGGGCGGGCCAGGAACACCAGCGGAGACCAAGCCTGTAGCCCTTGGTGAAGTCCTTCGCTTCTAACATCAGCGGCGTGACGCCCACCGCCTGCGAGAACTGGCCCAGCGCTTCACCGCCCAGGCTGTGCACATTCTTGACGACCCAACCGACGTGCTTGCCGACCACATGCTCGGAGGCTTCGTCGAGGGCAGGGACCGTCCAGAACAGCTGGCACCTGCCTCCTTCTAGGCCCTGGCCCACCACGTTGAGGGTAGAGAGATCCTGGTCCGGCCGCCCCATGGTAACGAAGACCCAGTCGGCATAGCGCCTGAACCCCTCAATCATGCGGGTGAGTCGCTCAAGGTCCAAGGTCTCGACGTTCTCCCGCTCAATGACGCCGGGCCAGCGCCGCCGTGCCAGACGCCGCGCGCCCGGCTCTATCTCCGAGTAGAGGTGGGCGGCCACGCTCGTGGGCAGGCGATGAGCGCCCACGGCAGCAGCGGCTGGCTCGGCGAGCAACTCCATCAGGACGACGTGCGGCCGCCTCCGAATCGTTTGCGGCGCGGCGAAGAGGACGTGCATGGCCTCCTCGCACTGCCCTCCCTTGCCTGTGGCTGCCCGCTCACCCCGAGCGGTGAGGCCAGCGGAGTAGCAGCTGCCGCCCGCCTGCTCGCTCGCATCCGTTGCAATCTTCCCCGAGTCGATCTTGGCTCTCAAGTCGGTGAGACCCCGTGTGGCGGCCATGCAGAAGACCAGGAGCTTGCCGCACATGTCTGAGGCCACAGCTTGCGGATTCTCCCGCTGCCCAGCAGCCCACCACTCGTTCAGGAACCCCATGAACGGCACGCAGACCTCCGCGATGTGCACCCAGCGGCCCAGCACGACGAGCACCGCCTTGGCCGTGACCTGAGGCTGGCCCACTTCCACCATCACGAGCGTTAAGAGCAGGAGTTGTTTCTCGACTGTGATTCCAACGCGGCCGAGCATGCCGTCTAAATCAGCACTCATATGCTCCAGCCCACGCTCGCGGTGCTTGGCTTTGCCTTTAGCAACTTGGATGCCACTCCTCGGACAGGCAGCGCGCAGCTCAGACAGGACCTCGCTAAGCGAGCCTGCCAACTCATCAAGACGGCCCACCAGGACGATCTCCCCGTGGTCTCCGTCGTTGATGTCGTACTGCACCCAGGCGTGCTCCAGCTTCTCCGCTCTCAAAGGCGTCCTCTCTGCCCTGCTGACTCCGATGAGCTCGTCAGGGATCGCCTCGACCGAGATCATGTAGGGCTGCCAGGCCTCGGGCAACTCGTTGCGGCAGAACGCTGACACTTGGTCGTCGGATGGCCACAGCAGCGCATGCCCTTCAGGGAGTGGAACCGAGACCTTCCGCGGTGAAGTGCTGAGGGTCCCGATGTCTTCTCGCATCATCCGCTGGTAGCGACTCGCGGGGGCCATGTTGATAATAAGCCGCCGTGCCACCTCCCTGTTGCCAATCTTGAAGATCTGGGCGTCGGCGATGGGCACAGCGAGGCCTAGCTCCACAAGCTCGGCGCCGAAGCGATGCCACTCCGCCTCCGAGCTCGCCTGGGCAGCCGCCCACTGAACCTTCTCCGGCCACTCGGCCTTGGTCAGCTGCGCCATTGTGGGATCAGCAGGCCACCCAGCCACATGCTCCTCGACGATGTCCAGCACACGCACAGCGGCGATACTGCCGCACGGCGGGAGGACTGGCATCACGCCTCCTACCGTGAGCGGCCAGGCACGCGTCTCCTCGCCTCCATGTGTGTCATCACGGGCAGCAACGTCCTCATGCCAGTCAGGGCCCTGGAAGCCCTTCGCGGAGTCTGAGGCGACATGCCCGGCAGCCCTGCGAATGACCCGCATCGGGCTCCCCTGCGCGGCCGTGAGAGGGCCTGTGGGGACTGGGCTGCCCTCAGCATGTCCGACACATTGGTGGTTCAGGGAACGTGCGACCAGGACTGCCCGGCCCTCAGCGATCGCAGCATCCAGTCCAGCCTCCAGGACGTGCCCTGGTTCAGCCACTCTGCACGGCACCTCGTGATCCCAGGGGCGTCAGGAATAGGGGGCGGCAGCGCCTCGCGCATCCGCGCGGGGCGCGCTCGCTGTACTGGCGGAGCGCTACAAACAAATCTCCCGACATCTCCTGGAGCACCGTGCACTGCTTCATAGAGCATCATGACTAGGCCGAACCGTGGTCGCCCCACCTGGCCTCTCGGCACTGGCGTGCAGTTTCCCCCAGCGGTACCTCTGCACAGGTCCTCGCATGCGCAGACCATCGCGTGCCCCTGCAGCATCCGCGTGGCCGCCGGCAGCAAGCTCCAGGCTCTGGCCTGCCTGGCTGGCGCTCAACATCTCCCCTGCGCCCAAGGCTGTCTCGCCACCGTGATCCGGGTTGCGCCGCGCCTGCGGCCTGGAGCTGCTCCGCGTCCGCGACCTGCAGAGGTCGCTCCTCCTGGCCCGCTCTGCCAAACCACCTTTGAGACGACCACGGGCAGCTTCCAGTCGCGTCGACTCCCGCCGGGGCAGCGGGGGTTCGTGACCTTCGACTTCTTCCACATGAGCTGAGGGCGGGGATCGGCTGGCGTGCTGTCGAGGCTCTCGTCCGCGAAGGCTGCCAGCTCTGGAAGTGGCCTCCGCTGCGCTGCTGCTGCTGCTGCTGCCGCTGCAGGGCCCCCGCCCAACCTCGGTGATCCTGGCCCCGATCAGAGAGGGGGGTCCCTGCTTGGCTGGCACCGCGCTGCTGACCTCTACCCGCTCGGCTGCACCCTCTCCGTCGCGGGGCGCGCCGGCGGGTCGACTCTTGCTGGGGATCAGCGTGAGCCACCGGCCACCGCGCCAATGGCCGTCCCGATGTGCTATCGTCCTGGCCTTGAACTCCTGCAGGGGCAAATCGCTGTCCTCAACGACCAGCCCACAAAATAAGCCGTCGGACGCCTCGCCCAGCGGGTGCAGCACTCGCACTCCGTCCGCGTCGACCGTCTGCAACGGGTATGCCACGTAGAACACCGCTTTGAGGTACTGCGTCACGTAGGGGCTGAGGGGGGCCGCCTGGCTCGGGTCCGCGAGCAGATGAGGGACCTGCCTCCTGGGGTGCCCAGGCCCCCTCCCCAGGTGGACTCCCGGCCGCTGCTTTGCGATCCTCTGGATCAAATGCCGCCTGCCGGTGATCCCCAGGTAAGCGTCGCGACCCAGCACGCCAAAGCCCTCGTCGCTGAGCACGCAGCCATCCACGCCGCCCGGCAACACCGTCGTCAGCATCTCGACGGGCCTCTCGTAACCAGCAGGCGCTGCCGAGACTCGAGCACCACTCCCAGCAGCTGTGGGGCCCTGCGCGCGCTGCTCCGGCGCCTGAGCAGCCCCAGGCATGACATCGTTCATGGCGACCGCTGGGGATCCGGGGCCGCACCCCGAGCCTCCTTGCAGGCTCTGGCCCAGCTGGACAAGACGCCCGTCTAGGGCAGGGACCTCGAACGCCCGCCCTAGCCCAGCGATCTCCGAGGCGTGTGGACCCTCGCCGAGCGGCGCTGCGCCACAGCGAGCGGCACTCAGCTCCTCCCCGCAGACCCACTTGGCTGCTGGCTCGGCGACGTCGCCCCCCGCCCGCTCTGTTCCTGGGGCTGGGGACTCCGGCGGTGGCTGCAGCGGTGCAGGCGGCAGAGCAGGAGGCCGCGCAGCCCCCTCGTCGCCTGACCCAACCGGGCTTGCTCCAGGTGTCGGGCAGCCAGCCGTCTCGGCACGCGGCCCTCCATCAGGCCGCGGGGCCAAGTGGTACTCCGCCTCCAGCGTCGCTTGGTCGCGTGAGTCGGCCAGCCGCCAGATATCGACGTGCTCGACTCCACAAGCGCCGATCGAGCAGCCTGCTGACGACTCCTCCTGCGCAAGGCCGCAGAGGTGGTACATCATGCCGAGCCTCCCGCCCGACATGCCTTCGGCCTGGGCAAGGCAGCTGAAGTACCCGACAGCAGCCCACCACGTGCGGCGCCCGCAGGTAGCGGTCGGCTGCTGACGCTGCCTCCGCGCCGGCCTCGTCCAGCACGTGGGCGCCCTCCGTGCGCAGCAGCTCGCGGCCCTGTCCAGCCCCTCGTAGTCGCAGGTCCTCACCTCCAGGCGATCCTCGGCGGCCATCCCCGCAGCGCCCGGCAGCTCTCCGCTCGACCTCCCGTCGAACCAAGCGCCTCGAGGGAAAGGCCAATGGGGCCCTCGAGCTCGCATCCGCCGCCAGCGCCTCACGGCACCATCCGCACGAAGCTCTGCGCGGTGTGAGGAGGAGGAGGAGGAGGAGGAGGAGGAGGAGGAGGAGGAGGAGGAGGAGGAGGAGGAGGAGGAGGAGGAGGAGGAGGAGGAGGAGGAGGAGGAGGAGGAGGAGGAGGAGGAGGAGGAGGAGGAGGAGGAGGAGGAGGAGGAGGGAGGAGGAGGAGGAGGAGGAGGAGGAGGAGGAGAAGGGAGGAGGAGGAGGAGGAGGAGGAGGAGGGAGGAGGAGGAGGAGGAGGAGGAGGAGGAGGAGGAGGAGGAGGAGGAGGAGGAGACGTCTGCGGCCAGCAGAACAGGGCGTGGCAGGCCGAGAGAACTGCGGGGGACCTCGCCCGAGGACCCCCGCTCCTCCTGCCCCAGAGGGACCTGAACCAAAGTGGCTACGGTTTTAAACGTGGTTTAAACGGCGATCGCTTCCTGGGGTCTGGGAGCCGCATAGCCCCCCTTGAAAGGATACCATTTATATATACATATTCTATTTATATAAGTCTATCAGTCGATTTGTATACGTACGTACCTATACTTCTTAGGAACAAGCACGAATACACACACATATATATATATATATATATCTATGTACTTGGGGTGATGTCGTATCCCGACGTCTCGCGCGCAGCACAACAACAGACAAAGGGATCAGCGCGATATTTTCTTCAGTCGATCGCTTCGCGAATCAAAGTTTCTCACTGGTGTCTCCGAAGTGTCTGGCCTCTAGCAGCAGGACGGCGACGAAGTCAAAGACAGTCCACACTCTGGACGTCGAAATTACTCCAAGTGAACATGGCAAGGAGAGGCCGGCTACGCTGAGCCAAAGGGGCATGAAAGTAGAAACGATATCCACCCTCCATCCTCGCGAACCTCCTCCATCCTGCATCCAACTTGTCCTCATCTCATCGTCCCTTGCCTGGCCTCATCCTTCTTCCCCTCCTCCCTCCCTGCTCTTCCCCCTCTTCCTGTAAGGCTCGTTCCTTCCTGTCTCCAAGCGGTATCCCCCCCTCCTCTTCCACTGAAGCACCACACTCCCTATCTAAATCTGGCCGCGCCCGTATCCTCCCCCTCCACATTTCTCCTCCTCCTCCTCCTCCTCCTGCTCCTTCTCCTCCTCCTCCTCCTCCTCTCCTCCTCCTCTTCCGTCTCCTCCTCCACCTCCTCCTCCTCTTCCTTCTCCTCGTCCTCCTTCACCACCTCCTTCTCCTCCTCCTCCGCCTCCTCCTCCTCCTTCTCCTCCTCCTCCTGCTCCTCCCCCCTTTCCCTCCCTCCCTTCCGTCGTCCGCGCCTAGCGGTGCGGGAGGGGGTGTGCAAAGCCCCCTCACTCCACGACGACGCCGGGCACGGTGGGGTCCTCCTGGCCGCAGGGCCCTGGCGGGAGGCGGGTGGGCTGCCAGAAGGCCCAGAGGCACGGGTGGGGGGATGGTGGTGGTGGTGGTGGTGATGGGGGGATGAGGGCGAAGTGGAATGGAGAGATTGGGGAAGGAGGGGTGAGCGAAGGAGGAGGAGGAGGAGGAGGAGGAGGAGGAGGAGGAGGAGGAGGAGGAGGAGGAGGAGGAGAGGAGGAAGAGGGGAGGAGGAGGAGGAGGAGGAGGAGGAGAGGAAGAGGAGGAGGAGGAGGAGGAGGAGGAGGGAGGAGGAGGAGGGAGGAGGAGGAAGGATGAGGAAGGGGGAGGAGGAAGAAGAGGAGGAGGAGGAGGATGATGAGGAGGAGGGGGAGGAGGAGGAGCAGGAGCAGGAGGAGGAGGGAGGAGGAGAAGAGGAGAGGAGGAGGAGGAGGAGGAGGAGGAGGAGGAGATGGGGTAGGAGGGGGCTGCGCCGTAGTCGACTATATAGCCAACAGCGTACAGCGTACAGGAGGAGGAGCAGGAGGAGAAGGAGGAGGAGGAGGAGGAGGAGGAGGAGGAGGAGCAGGAGGAGGATGATGATGAGGAGGAGGAGCCTGACGTGCCCCATGCGTGTCCGCCGTGCCATATGTGACACGATTCTTGCAGGGAGCGGGGGATTAGGGGGGGAGGGGAGGCAGCCGCTGCCCCTCGGCCGTCAATGGGGGCAGGCGCGAACTAGCTCGTGATGCTTGCCAGCGTCTATAAATTGAGCTCTGTAGCGGGCAATGAGCTCGTGAAAAACTTTTCGGGCATGGCCGGCGCGGCACGGCTACCAGGAAGATCCGCGCGCCATCGCCCTGGGCGAGCCAAGTATTCGTAGACGGTGACAACGGTGCCGCTCAGCCCAGACTTCACGACAAACTTGTAGAGGAACATCAGGAGGTTGGAGGAGGATGAGGAGGAGGATGAGGAGGAGGAGGAGGACGATGAGGGGGAGGATGAGGAGGACGATGATGATGATGAGGAGGAGGAAGAGGCGGAGGAGGAGGAGGAGGAGGAGGACGGGGAGGTGGAGGGGGATAAGGAGGAGGAGGAGGAGGAGGAGGAGGAGGAGGAGGAGGATGAGGAGGAGGAGGAGGAGGAGGAGAAAGCGGAGGAGGAGGAGGAGGGGGAGGGGGAGGGAGAAGGAGGGAAAGGTAAGCTAAGCGCGCTCGCGCCATATCTGACATCCTATCCCTCCCTCCCATCCCTTCCCCTTGCGCTGATTTTTCTTTACCCGCGGACGCGTGACATAGCCGCTTTGGAACTCCACAAACGACCCCATCGTACTATGCGTAGTTGGAGGAGGGACACTTGTGGGGCCTTTGCGACTTGGTGGACCTCTGTAGCCCGTGGAGACTGTGAGACCTGCGGCACCTGTGGGACCCGTGAGACCTCTGGAAGCAATGGGATCTGTGGGATCCGCGAGACCTGCGAGACCTGTTGGACCCGTGACATCGGCGGGACCCGCGGGACCTGTAGGACTTGCGGGACCTGCCAGACCTGTTGACCTGTGGGGCATGCGATACCTGCGACACCTGTGGGTCTTGTGGGACCTGTGGAACCTGTCAGTCTGGTTGGACCTGTGGGACCTGTTACGCGACCTGCGACACTTGCGGGTCCTGTGGGAGCTGTGGGACCTGTCGTGCCTGCAAGACTTGTAGGATCCAGACAAGTGGCCCACGCTGGGGCGGGAGCGCCACTGGGAACAACGGGAGCACAGCGCCGATCCGAACATTTGTCCACGCTGCAGCTAGAGCAAGATTCTTGAAAGCTGTAAACAATCGGATGGTACACACACAACAGATGTAAAGCCATCCCGCGAGAACCCTGTGTGAACAAACTGGACGCAGAAGGGTCGAATTGAGGACACATCGCGACATATAAGCTCGGATGCGCACACTCATGTGTGTACAAAACCAATACGCGGAAGGGGGCGGACACTCTCAGCACACTCTGGGATACTGCTGCTGCTGCCGCTGATGATGATGGTGGTGGTGGTGGTGGTGATGGCAAAAAGGGTGGTGATGGCAAAAGGGGAGGAACAGGAAGATGGAAGGCAAGGGCGCTTGAGGGGGACGCAGTGTGGACGGGAGGAGGGGGACGGGGGAGGAAGAGGAGGAGGAGGAGGAGGAGGAGGAGGAGGAGGAGGAGGAGAAGGAGGAGGAGGAGGAGGATGAGGAGGAGGAGGAGGAGGACGAGGAGTAGGAGGAGGAATGCTATGAAAAGGACAAGTGTCCAACAGGCTCCCCAGGGTGGCGCATGTGCCACTTGCGCCACCTGGGGTCTCCCTGGGCTCCCCATGGCGGCGCCGTCCGCCAACTGGGAGCCCCTCGGCCAAAGCACCGCGAGAGCCGTGAGACACGAGGCATGCCAACGAAGCTCCTTAGCCGTGCGTCACATAGGACGCTCCCGCCGCTGCGAGGCGGCACGCCTTCCGGAGCAATCGGCGACACCACGACACGGCCTAGCAGGGACCAGGCCTCGCCGAATCAATCCGCCGACCCCGAGGGGCCCGACACAGCACACCAATCCGCCGACCCTCGATAGGGCCCTTATCCATCATTACACTCCGACAGCCCCCGCGCGCGTGGCGATGGCTCATGGCTTACCGTGCGCATGACATCCTTCACCGTCCTCAAGGCAATCTGCGCCTTTGCGAGTGTCCGAAAAGCACCGTCGTCGTCTCTCCACTCGCCCTCCTCGGTGATCGTCGCGATCCTCCGCTCCAGGTTGCACGCGAGTTTCGTCATGATGGGTTTGACAATGCCCTCTAGCTCGTCGTGCTTGCTCTCGATCTCTGCCTTCCCCTCGAACAGGGCCTGTTCCAGCCAGTCAATGGTGGGATAGATCGCCTTCTCGATCTTCTCCTTGTCGCCCACCTCGAAGTTGCGCTGGAGCTCCTCCTGCAGGAAGGTGTTGATCATGGTGGAGCAGTAGTTGGCGAGGCCGAGCACCGCCTTATCCTCCAGCACGTTCTGCTCGCCCTTCTGCTGCACCATCTCCGTCACGTCCTCCATGGGCGGGCCAGCGGAAGTCGCATCCTCGTACTTGCGCCTCTGCGGCTCCTTCTCCTCGAGCTTGACCTGCGGCTTCTCCCCCTGCAGCGCGTGGCGCAGCTGGGTCTCGGTGTCCGTCTTCTGGAGCTCCACGCCCGCCTTGCTGCCGACCACCGTCTCCTCGGTGCCCTTCTCGAAGAGCTGGTCGTCCGTGGTGCTCCCTTCCGTGACGTCCTGCGGCGCCTCCACGGACCTCGGGGACTCGGCCTCCTTGCAGTCCCTGGTGCATTTGCCGTCATCACGCCACACCCCAGGCCCAGCTCCGAAGCCATGATGCGCAGCCCGATTGCGCACGCGCCTCCGTGGGCCTGGGACGTTGGCCCTCAGGCCCGCCGCCCCAGCCGCCACATGCATGCGGATCTGGGGCTTGATGTCGTCCAGCCGCTCCTTCGTCTCGACGTCGACCGCGGAGGGTTCGAGGTCGCCCCGGAGCAATTCCGCCGCCACCCGGGAGGAAGAG